TTTATATATAAATATTTATATATATTAATATATATATATATATATATATATATTCCGTTCCGTCCAATAACAGGTGGTCCGTGTACCGGTCAGCTGATGGCATGGTATGCAATTTCGAATGATACCGCCCAATACGGGCGGTACATATCAGTCCGATGGCATACCGATACGCGGACCGCCCATAACCGAACGGAACGTGCTACAGTGCTATAGTAAGAGGAAGAAATATTTAAAACCGCTTGATAACGGTGATACAGTGCTCCAACGATCAAATTGATCATTGGAACCTTTTCTCATAGTATTTATATCCTTTTTCTCCCCTATTTCACTACATTACATTCTCATACTCTCTTAAACTATCTCAAACTCTTTTTTTCTCATATTTATGCTCTCCTAAATTCTACAAAATAACGATTTGTAAATTAAATCGAGGCTAATTTGGGAAGATTAAGAGGAAGAACTTTCTAATCAAAAGGTATGTTTACATAAGGACAATCCGTAATGGACTGAAATACGAACCTTGCACAAGATATTCTTCAAAACCCGAAAAAGATATATGATACTATTCTTACCTAATTTACATTAATTTTGCTAAACTTATGCTATTACTATATTTATTTCTAACTTAAAAATCTTATCCTAACTTTTTTTTATTTTTAAGTATTTTCAGAGGGTTTTACACCTAAATTAGGTGTACCGCTCAGTACGCCCTAGCGTACCGCTCGGTACATGGTGCCGTACCATACCGAGCCAATCTCGAAACACTAGTACGGTACGGTATTGCATACCTTGGCTGACGGACCGGTACGTACCGCCAGTACTATTCGAAATTGCATACCTTGCTTTTACAGTCTTGGAGGAACCAAGTCAATTAGATTTAGCTAAGAACTGGCTGCTATCAAAATTCATGCTAGAAAAGAAGAGGTTAGATAGAACTGGCTACTATTAAAATTCATGCTTGCAAAAACTTTAGATATGTTTTTATTTATTTTTGACATTAACAATCAATTAAACTTTAGGTCAATGTAGATAATTTACACTTAAAAATATAGGTTATGGGTCCATTCCTTTCTATGATACTTCTCCAAGAGGGATGGATCCATATTGACTTTTTTTCCAATCAATGGGTTCACGTCCTCACCTCCCTCCTTTTTTCTGCTCTTAACATTTCATTCAAAATTAAATAACAGGACACACGATGATAAATACACTTGGGACATTATGGCTTGTTGTTGTAGTATAATGATAAATACTAGTAACAAAAAATGGCTTTCATAATTCATTATTTTGATACTATGTCAATGTTTAACAATGCTAAACTAGATTATATAAGTTTATGTGGGACGTGCAAAATGCATAGATTCTTAGCCAAACAAAAAAAATATGAGTTATTAAACTTATTAAGCCAACAACAAAGTACTAACATCATGAAATTAAGTGCTATTAATACACACCTACACGAGAGCCTTCAAAGAGCTTCTGCAGGGCTGCAATATGTCCATCTGCTAAATCAACAACATGGATATAATCCCTTACCTGGAATCAGAATGATGTCCATAAATAACAGAAAATGTTATTAAAAAAAAGATAATTAAACAGAAGAAACTTTCTGCACACAGAAATTAGCAGATTGCAAGGCAGACAGAAGACTGAGCAAAATAAACATTTTATAGATATTTAACAGGAAATCGAGAAAATTATTAGTATGCTACATGCACCCATCAGAGTATATAGCAACACAAGAAGTAAACAAAAATGATTATAAGGAAAAAAGAATAAGAGATGATGTGCTCATGAAAAAAGAAAGGTAAAAAGTAGTTTCATGAATGTGTTATTAGCCCTCTAAGCTTCCTATTGAAATTGCAAAAAAACCTGATAGCATTAGGAAAAAGTGTGTTCCAACACAACCTATTGTGACTGCATAGACATTTAGGACATTTATCAATAGCATTAGGACACACGACATTGATTAACTTAACAAGTGTTTAATTTTGGAGCAAAATTTATGTAACATATATCATAACCTATTTATAGCTTCCAAAACAATGTTATGGTGTTACAGGCGTGCTGCATCCTAATCATTCTCAAACACCAATCATTTATATCTGCTTGAAAATACTAATGCCCTCATGTGTACGCCTAAAGGCTAGATATGCCAAAATTAAAACTGATGTTTCCACTTTCCAGAAAAAGATAATTAAATGAAAGCTTGAAGCACTATACAAGATTGCGTCTTAAAGACCAGTACCCCTGTGCCATCTTTGGTTGAATAGTCATTTCCATATACTGTGAGGGCAGGTCTCCTTCCAACAGCTACTTGCTGTACAAAAGGCATGAGGTTATTGGGAATTCCACAAGGATCTTCACCAATGTATCCACTGGAATGAGCTCCAACAGGATTGAAATATCTTAATAGAATCATATCCCAATCACTGTCACCTTGACAGATATCACGACAGATATCTTCAGTCATAAGCTGCAATGATAATTGCAAGAATGATTAATTCAGACAGTGGGTGCATAAAATAAGAAACCGAGAGGCAAAGATGAAAAAGAAACCTTGGTCCGTCCATATGGATTCATTGCACATAGAGGAAACTCTTCTGTACAGGGTACTTCCTTGGGCCACCCATAAACAGTGGCTGATGACGAAAAAACTAGCTGAAAAGTATAAGATATCAGGCATCCATATGGTTCTTCTGTTCAAAATAGTCCAGAATAATGTTGCACATGCAGTATTTAGGATGAAATTCATATATGTAAAATAGATGAAACAATCTTTAAAACCTGAATTTAGGAAGTAAACACAATGGTAAGTCAAAACTTCCAACTCAACTTATATTAGTATTTTATGGAGAACTTCAACAAAGAACACTAAAACTTTAAAGTTGTTAGAGGTGGTCATCAATACACTCAAGCTACAACCATCTAGCTTCCTGACATCTCTAAGGGTCACAGTCGAAGTGACTGCTCAAGCACCTAGATAGAGCCTAGCCCCCATCGTACTTTTTCTCCTTGGGTGGCTGATTATGTAATGCAAGAATATGTTATTAAAGGGTCAGAATGAGGTCAACATGTACAAAATAATATGTTATAGATCAGGTACATATAAAGAAGCTGTTCTACATACTCATGTGACAAATAATAACAATGAATGCATTGTTTTGGTTAAGTTTATGAATATTATTAGACGTAACACACAATATTATATCTTAATTATGATGCTTATTACTATGCTTCTATTTGTACTTCTGCTTTTGTTTACGTTAGTATCTTTAGATGCATACACCAACAAAATACCTGTAGATGATGCTTAGGAAAGGATTCCTATGAACTCTGAAGATCACAGAAGGAATTAGTTATGTGGTTGGAGCTTCAAAGATTAAAAACTTAATTCCAAATAATTTATTATAATAATTAAGCAAGAGAAATACAGATGATCATATGTTACGTCAGAACTTATCTTCATACATGTTAGTACATACTATTATAAAAGAACACAACATCTGCACTATATTTAAATGTTATATTCTGGTTGAATGTATATCAAGGCCTTCCACTTAGTCTTTTAAGGGATCATCACTTATAAGCACCTAGGAACCTTGACAGTTTTAACCAACTTGCAGGAAATGACTCCATTCGGGAAGAGAAGGGAAATGAATAATAAAGTATAGTACAAATGGAACATTAAGCAAAAGTAGCATTATTTTAAATAATAATGTGAAAAATGGTACTTTTGATCGATCACTTCTATCTATGGGAAAACTATGAAAAAAAATTAATTATTGACTTCAAGAATGAGGCATCTAGCGGGATAAAATTTCTCTTAATGACATCCTTGGATAGCTAGATATGTACCCCACAAAACCAATTGATAATCTCAGATTTGCTTCAGAAAGTTATAAACTCATGTCATTAATAACAGATATTTATTAAATAAATATTGAACTAAATGCTGCTAATGCTTGGTAAAGGTTAGTTTGATGCACATGATTGTAAAAGGCTATCTAATATTTTTTTTTCATAATGCGCTTCTATGAGCCTGCATGCCAAATATATAGTAGACCACAGTCACCACACTACCTTTTTACATCCGTTTGCAGCCATTACTTCAAAGAGATTTATGGTACCAATGAGGTTGTTGTTGTAATAAAGTAAAGGATTTTTAACACTTTCACCAACAGCCTTTAGTCCAGCAAAGTGAATAACAGCATCAAACCTGCAGAGCCAATTCTGATCATGTAATTAAAAATCTTAAAGTATAGCACAAATAATTATAGAAGATCAGTAATGGATCTTCGAATTGGAAAAGTCTTTTGGCACAAAAGAAAACAGTAAGCAATTAGAGATCTAACTTGTATGCATACTTCGCTTGATGACAGAAAATCTCTATGTTTCTTTATCTTTCAATATAAAATTATTGTTTAAAGCAAGGTATGCAATACCGTACTGTACCGGTGTTTCGAGGTTGGCTCGGTACGATACGGTACCGGTGTACCGAGCGGTACACCAGGACGTACCGAGCGGTATACCCTGGTGTACCGAACAATTTTATATATTTTTCTTCATACTGTAATACTGTAGCACTGCTATAATGTAATACTGTAGTACTGTAGCGGTACTGGGCGGTCCGCGTACCGGTATACCGTCGGACCGGTATGTCGTCGGACCGGTATGTATCGCCCGTACCGGGCGGTACCATTCGGTACTGCATACCATAACCGTGAGTGCCTTATTCAGGTACATATCAACAACCACGTTTAAGCAAAACCAGATAGCCATCAACATTTATGTACCAACCATGACATTTCATCAGCACTCATCATTTGTAATATGTGGTTGTATATCAGCTATTTCAAGACTTTGATAAACTAAGACAAATTACTAATAATGGGAAGGAAAAGCCAATTATACAAAATAACAAGCTTAAATAACTATTAACTGTAGAATGAGCCTGCATTAAGTTACCTCCAGTTCACCATATAGAATTCAGTAAACAACTTATACACAATCAACTTATACACGAAGATAATGCACCCAATTGACCAAGAAGTAACCATGATTTTAAGGACAAGACTATGACTCTTCCATAGTCACAATGAAATACCTAATTTTCCTCTCTTGCTCAACCAATTACCGAACTCCCACGACCATTATAAAATGAAAAAATAAAATAAAATCCAAAAAATGCAACTCATCATGGAGAAAACGGGAGGGAACAAAATCTTTAATGTTATTAAGGCATCCCAAACAGCCATCAGTTGTGAGATCACCAGAAGAGAAGGTGAGTTGGATATTCTAAAAAGAAGACAGAGTATGCTGCATAGTTCTTTACTTTCGTGAAATTCCAAAGTTAATATAATATACATGAATATTTAAAAACCTATCTATACAATTCGGAATAGAGAAAGTAAAGGGAAATTTTTTGAAACATAATAGTGAAGAAATGATAACAATGTTCACAACGAAAGAACCTTACTTGGTTGAAGAAAAAACTGATTCCAATGCTTCTCGGTCTCGAAGATCAACCTGCAGCAGTACAGATGTATTCAGAAATGGAATCCATATATTGGGTCTTGCTGTTTTCATTATCAATCATCAGAACCAGGCTAACAGGAATTTGACAGCAACCAATCATGCATGCCTGTCGAAGCATATTCCTGATGAAGTTTTGTTACTCGTTTATTTCTTAGCTATTCAAATGTTAGATTCTGCAACTTATGAAGATAATCAAAGAGTTTAGTTTGTGTAGACGACAGGGTTCTAACATGGACCAGGATTCCAGTCAAGAAAGGATATTCAATTATCAACAAGAATGCAGCATGTACTCAACATCATGATACAAAGATAATGGTTCTCGTTTGTTCAAAGAAAAAAACACTATGTCAAGTATAGAAACCAGTAATATGGGAAGAAGTAAAGCTGGTTGATCTTCTGATGTCAAACTATATCTGCAGGCTGCAGGTAATGCTTTCAAGTTAATAAATTTGTACTCTTTATAAGAAATGACCAATATTGTCATTAAATGAAAACTTATTACCAGTAAGCATGGTTGTTCTGGACAGAAGAATCCTATGTTTGAGAAAGTTATTGATAGTGCTCTGTGCACTTATATGTACAACAATGTATCTTTATAGTTAAAAATTGCAACAATTGGGATGTCAGGAATTATTAAATGTCGCTTTATACCTCACATGTTTTGCCTATATCCTGCAGCAGCAACAGAGATTAAAACAGATAATAAACTGTAAATAGGGGGAACTGCAAATGCTTGTGACGGCAACATGTATGCCTAAAGGTAAATAAATGCTGAGTCAGACCAATAATTTTACCATGCTGAAATTCTCAGGGAAATTTGTCAAACATAACCGTTTGGACGATTCTGGCAATTGGTATTACCAGTTTATGATTCTTATAAGATTTGGTAGCAATTTCCAGGTTCTTAGATTCCACGTAAGGGTCGACAATACGGTGGTCTGGCATCTAATATTTGACCGTTTACCTAATTTGATGACAGAGATGTCGCTATTTGGCTCCAAATAAGCGTTCTAGATACACGGTCTAGCATCTAAAAACTTGGCTGTTTCCCTAATTTGATGAAAGAGATATCATGACGCACGAACAAGCACCATTCAAGAAACCCTAAATTATAAGTCCAGAGTGAACCCAAAATTGCATAATAATTAGGATCTAAAAATTAACGGTCACAATCTGGAAGCGGAAGCAATCTTCCGATTCATAATGCCAGGAATATACGACAAACGCAATATGACGTTCGCGAGACGGTGGAAGGAGGAGCGCAAACGGGAACCGTATCATCTCAAACGAGAACCAGACCGAAAAAAAATATAATCTTGGCAATCAAGAAATAGTTCCCAACTCAGGCATCGAACAAACCATCCCAACACTTTTAAGAACCCCAAATCTGGATCTAATATACCGAGTCAGATCAGTACCCGATGGAAGGCGAGGTTCTTGCCGAACTCCCCAGCGAGATCCCTGACCCGCTCGACGGCAACCTCCGAGGAGTTGTTGAGGCTGTCCAACACGACGACCCGGAAGCCCCCTTTGAGGAGCTGCAGCACCGTGTGGCTGCCGATGTACCCGGCGCCACCGGTGACCAAAATGGTACGCGCGACGGCCGGCGGCGAAGGCATTGGATCGACGGAACGACGAAGGCGGACAGCGGAATCCTCGAGATCCGGGGAGAGGCACGCGGGGCGAGTGGGAGAGGAGAGAGGAGGAGAGACGGAGGTTTGTAATTGGGATCCGGGAGCGAGGGAGGGAGGTATATATGCCCGCGGGTGATCCCTAACCGCCATGGTCACCGAGCATGGGCTGTCCGCGAACACCCCAGGAAGCGTCAACAGGAGAAAGGTATTCCCGTTCCTACTTCCTCCCTCAGCGGGAATTCATCGCATTTCGCCATTATTAAGATATGGAGCGGCGCACGTGGCGCCATGCGAGTGGCCGACTGCGGTATTTTTACAGCTCGTTTCTCGCCAACGGTCGGGACGACAGGAGCGCGGCTCAGCTGTCCGGTCCCAGACAGGGCATAGCTTTCTCCGCCGCGTGGGACCACGAGGTCGGCGTCGTGAGAACGAGCGAGGGTGGACGCTCGGACCACACACGCCGAGTCAGACCCGATTCGTCTCAACTCGGTACCGAGTCAAAGGCGTCCCGCTCCCTCGGGGAAATAGCTGACGACGCGTGTTAACGAAACGTGTTGTGGCTCACGTATTTGACGAAATGCCGACGTCGTGGTGCCGGTGGTGGAGTTGACGGAGGAGAGGACGTCGCATAAGGGGGGGACAGTGGGGAAGGACCGCCAGGCGCAGCCGGGGCTACCCAAAGCCGTGTAGCGGAAGGCGAGCGAAGAGCATCGACACAGCCGCACACGCCGGCCGATTCTTCGATGGAAAGGTAGCCATCACATGCGGTCGGCTCTCAGGACCTCGAACGGGCCCGTGGATCATTGAGTCAGATGCATCTCAAAGTACGTCACAGGGAACCACCAAGAAACGATGGGTGGCTGCATTCCCTGGGCACATCACATCCACTGTTCTGATCTGGCACGGTTCGTAGAAGACAGTTTATAGAGCTGGAGATGAGGGACCAGCCGAAGGGAGAAAGAACTCCCCGTGACGACACTCGAGGAAAAAGCAGAAGGTTAAAGAGATGGTACGGAGCGTCGCGTGCGTGAGACTCGGACTTGCCATCGGCACACGTTCGCGCCCGGTCAGATACCCGAGAGAGGTTCCATAGGCGTAGATTTGGCTCACATGTCATGGAGAAGTTTCGGCACGAGTTGTTATGCTGGGGATAAATCAACTGGAGCGGATCTAAGTAGAGAGAAGCGTTGACTTGAAGACGAAGACTTTCCATGTAAATGGTCAGTGCACATGTGCTTTCCACGTGATGCATTTAAGGGGAGCACAGAAATTTACGCACCATAATATAATAGAAGTCAACTGCAAGAATTTTATTGGCGACGGCTTGAGTTATTGTCTGAATTACGAGTCATTAGAACAAATTGCTTGGTCTGAATGGAAAGGAAAAGTTACGGGTGACTTGAAGCTTCAAAGCAATACCTAATCGATCAGGAAAAGTTAGGGGGGGTCTCCAAACCATTACATGGTCAACGTTGTGGATCGCCAACCTTGACTTGAAGGAGACCAGCCAAACTCGTGTTGATTTGGTCTTCAAATCCTTTGTTCTCTCAGTTGGTGAAAGGTTTGGTGTGTGTTCATGGACAAGCAAAACTGCGGAATGGTAAACCGAGTCAACCGAGACAGAAACAAGAGGATGCCATAGTGTTTTGCATCAACCTTTGACTTGAGCCATGGATCTATACTTAGTCTCCGCCTAGTTAAGATTCTCTCCTTTTCAAGGAAGCAACACATGCAAGCCCTATGGAAATGATGAGAGAGGAGTACAATACTTAGTACTCAATCAAGAGAGTCAGAAGATGTGTGAAATCTTCAGATACTCGAAGTCAAAGCCTAGTTTGTGCTCATTATTCTGCCTAGTCAAGAACTATTGGATTCTGAAGGTTTCTCGCACTGCATTCTACTGAACACCATCCACTAAAATAGTGACTCTTTTATTGCACTTCACGAAGGAAGAAATATATATATATATATATATATATATATATATATATATATATATATATATATATATAGGGCCCAAGCATTACTGGAACATGCATGGTTTGATTGCGATCAATCTGTACAACTAACATCATCCTCATCCACTGCATGATTCCATTATGCTCTTGAAAGAATGATCCGGTTGTCATGCCTTGCTGTAGCTGGTTGTCCATTCCCAAGTTACAGGGTTGTGCAGGCTGATGTTTGGTTGCTAGCTCCAAGATTAGCTGTTGACAAATGATGAGTTCATCATGTGATGATTCCTCAAGTAGTCATTGCAATCATTAGGCAAAGGTGTTGGACAGCTTGATCCTAACTAGGGAGGATGCTTCTGGGGATATCTTCTGCGATAGAACTAATGAAATGGATCTTGAGAAGCATTTGTCAGAGAGCAGTGATTGGATTTTTGCACCTTGTTCCTTGTATTTGAAGCTAGCATCACTGATTGGAGTGGCAGAACTAACTACTACTGCATTGGAATATTAATGTTTCTGGCAGGCATTTAATTAAGAGGGTCAATTATGAGTCATTGATGTTCTTGGTAGATGCATAGTTAAGAGGGTCAATTATGATTCAAGAGTTTCTTGCTCCCTCTAAACCAAGAGAGATTGGTGCCTTGATTTTCTCTTCCTTTTTCTCTTCTTATCATCCGGATCAAGGAAAACACATCAGTCTTACCCAAGGAGATCAATTCAGTATCTAGGCAGATTCATGCTTCAAAGATGATAGGATTCGAAAAAGAGATACAGATCTGATGAACATCAACATGTCAAATCGACGATCAAAATCAGTATTAATGAACGGAAAAGAAAGAAGGAAAGGCATTTCAGTGATCTACATATGTGCAAATGCCGAGCAAGACAATTGAGTGGTTGCACTCTTCATTCCAGGTAGAGGTGCAGTGTGGGAGTGGCAAAATGGCTCGGCCCAAGTGTGATTCCGTCCCACGGTCTGGCGTTGGCCGGCGCAGGGCAGCTATCGTGTGACTGCCTTCGAGTTCAAGCCCATCAAGAAGGCCACAAATTGCGCAAGCTTTCCTCCATTCTTGCTGCTCCTTCACTAAGCATCTCATCTCCTCTTCCTGTAGCTGCACACTCCATTTTACCTTCGATTCATTGACATGGTCTCACAGACGATACATGTTCTTATCAGCGTTACAACCTCATCATTTTCCCAACACTGTTGGATCAACGGAAGAAACTTGGTCTCATGGTCATCCACTGCATTACCTTGCTCCTTCTGCTTATGGACACCCCGATGTAAGTGCCCCCTATATGTTTGTTTAAATGTTCATGGAGGGCTTTTGCTATTTAACTTGAGCTTTGGAAGTTTGCAAGACACGTAGTACATTGTTTAGCTAACAACAAATAGCCATATAGATTCCACCATCAATCATCAAGGATAAGATACATTTTAGTCACATGAACACAACATACATAGCTGTAGCAGTCTGATGAGTTGGTCATACCAGATTCTGGATGACTCGGACGAAAACAATTGAGGAATCAATTCCAACAAAATCATAAGTTGCTGGGCGAATCCAAAATACTGGAAATCCTTAAGCCCAGTCTTAATCGGTGATAGCTTTGATGTCTTGGTGTGGTGAGAGTGAAAGATATTGGAAGGTGAACAGCTGACTCGTAAAACCAATAGGCCTGCTTGGTATGCTTAAGACTGTGAATCAAATGTGGGTGGCATGATCAGAATTGTCAGAAAGTCAACATGGGAGAAATCTTGATCATGGCTACCAACTTTGTATGTGAGCCCTGTTAAGGTCAAATACTAAATTCTCGTCAATTCAAGACCTCCTCCTATGAAAGCTTGTTAAGATCTGTGTTAATGGCCTCCCTGTGATACTAATGAGAAGAATGTCCACCGGTGAAGCTTGAATCCACCCAGAGACAGTCTGGCTATGTCATGTTCTTAGATCTCTAGCAGACTTAATAATGTTCCTTTTTGTTGGCAGGTCATATGCCAGCTATAACTAGTTTTAATAACTTTCAGATTCAAACTGTTGGTTTTATTTACTCATTGTAATGTATAATATATGACCAATTGCAAGTTCTTTGATGGATGAACTAAAGTATCTGCTTCAGACTAATAAGAGCTGATCATAAAGAACCCATGCTACATGATGTGATCTCTGGTTCTGTGACAGCCATCTGTTCCATGTTTGAGGAGTTGGAAATGATGCCATCAAGCTCGTGGTTGTCATCTATTCATTGCCTACCCTTTTTTCTCCTGCTAATAGATAGAGACTTCTCCAGAAAGCATGTTAATTCAAGCCACAACTTATATCACAATTGATTGAGTTGCTCAACCACTTTTTGGATCAGTCTGAGCCATGAAATGCATTGAGATATCCTATTATTTTCTCTGTTTTCACAGTACTAGGAGAAGGAAAAAAGATGGAAATGGAAGATACTTCCTACTAATATGAGCAGTGTAACTCTTTTTTTTCTGGGTAAGAATAACTCGGAAACAACTTGGAGTAGGATGGACTCTGCTACACGCAATCCTCGTCATCTCTGTAGTCAGTGAGGCTTGGAGTGTTCTTAACTGATAAGCTCACCCACTCCACCCACTACTTGCCTACTTTTAACTGCTAGTTTATGTTCATATGGATAATCTTTTCCCGGTCTTCCACGCTTACAGATCCGGAGACACCACATGCTTCTCGGTCCCGCCACCAACTACTATTCCACTCTAAAGAACTCATCCATGGCACCTCAATCTTCCTCTTGGAGAGCTTCGGGAGCACGCCAAGGCAGCCCCACAACATAATTCTCTCGTTTCTCCTCTTAGCTCTCACTGCTTCTGTTCTCCTTAGCTCCCCTCGTCATCGTCTTCTTCTTCTTCTTCTTCTTCTCTGGCAATGGGGCACGATTCGCTTGTCCTGATCATTGCTCTGGGGCTTGTAATTGGGACCGTAGGCGCGCAGTCGGATGGCTGCGGTTCGGAACTGCCCATTGCTCTCAGCAGCAACTTCTCGGGGCTCTCCTGCAAGACTGTCTGGAATAATTTTGTCCTCAGGGTAAGCATCGCCGGAGTTCTAAATCTTTTCAGCTTTTTCCTTGCGGAATTGGATTAGTTTTTCCTTTTTTTTCTTTTTTTTTTGAGATAGAGGAAAATATTCTATGATGCATCTGCAGTCAACCAAATTTTTATGTCGAGATCTAGTTATGTCCTGATGAAATCTTGATTTCAGAGAGTATTGGTAACATAAAAAGGAAATCTTGATGCTTTTTAAGATTTGCTCATCAGGCTCTCTTTCTATGATAAGAGAATCTCAAGCGATTGGAAATATTTGCTGCTTTATTAGTGTAAATTATTCCCAAGTAATTCATGCTCTAAACCGTTAGTTCTTATCATCATGCTTCCATTTTCTCATTCAGTTTGATTCTTTTCATAGAGCAAGAGCTCCCCGACTCAATTCTGTACTCTCGGGACATGTAAAACTAGAGCATGCAGAAAGTTCTCATTTGAAACAATGTTGATTGTTGCAGTACTCCCAAGACCAAGACAATGTTCTGAGCATTGTATTGTCTACCGTATACACCACTGGCTGGGTAGGCTTAGGATTCTCCAAAGATGGAATGATGGTTGGCTCCAGTGCTGTAGTAGGTTGGATGGGCAAAACCGGTCAACGACATATTGAAAGGTTCTATCTTGGTGGTCAGTCTAGCTCAGATGTCCAGGTTGACAAGGGAGAGTTGCAATTCTCTACTGCTGCTGCTGCTGCTGGACCTTCAGTTCTTGTTGAGAATGCAAAAATCTATCTGGCATTTCGACTGAAGTTTTCTGCTCCGGTCACTCAGCAGCAACTCATATTCGCTATTGGATCTGCAACCCCAGTCAACAATGTCCTGCAAATCCATGATGACAAGACATCTATCCTGTTTGATTTTTCATCAGGTTTTTGTTGATACCTTTTCATGCTCTGTTGTTCTCCATATATCATGAGTTCAGTTTGCCAGATGTAGAATTTACATGCATGCATTCACCAGTAAAGTACAAGCTGTATTCCATCATTAGATACAATGCAGATACTGATTGTAGACAAACGGCAACTTAGATATTGAGCTGACGATGTTCTGTGTACTTTTGCAGGTACTTCATCAGCTTCTTCTTCCTATCCTACCCAGCTGAAGAGGACCCATGGAGCACTAGCAATATTTGGGTGGGGTGTTCTGCTACCGATAGGGACAATCGTCGCAAGATACTGCAAGCAATGGGATCCTCTATGGTTCTATCTGCACACAGTCATCCAGTTCATTGGATTTATCATTGGTCTTGCAGCAGTGGTGACTGGAAAATCACTGTACGACAAGCTGCATGCTAGTGTCCACACTCACAGAGGCCTTGGCATTTTTGTACTGGTGCTTGGTATTCTTCAGGTAATCTATCCAAATTCACAGTAATGTTCATATTTGTCATCTGAGAGAGAGAGAGAGAGAGAATGAGAGAGAGAGAGCTTTCCATTGTCCTTCTAACATCATCTAACGCGCAGGTGTTGGCCTTCTTTCTACGACCCGACAAGGATTCCAAGTACAGGAGGTACTGGAACTGGTATCATCAGTGGGCTGGAAGACTCGCTCTGTTCTTCGCAGCAGTCAACATAATTGTCGGGATTCGAGTTGGAGGTGCAGGGAGTTCTTGGAAGGTTGGCTATGGTTTCAATCTTGCCCTCCTGATGACAGTGTCAATCATCTTGGAAGTCTTGCTGTGGACAAGATGGTCGAAGGGAAACAATACTCCGGTCTTCTAAGTGCGGCAACCAGATGATCCTCGTATTGTCGTCGTAGTAATTGATGATGGTTGTTCTTGTTTGTCACATACTTTTGCTGGAGAATCTAGAGATCAGTAACATTGAGTTGCCATATCCAATGGAGGAAACATGTTGTTTCGATTATTAGAATAGGTTTATTGTGCTTGGACATGTCACACAAGCCTATTTTGATGACTACAACAAAACAATGGAAGCCAAACAGGATCACTCTTATGTAAACTAGAGATTGATAACATGCTTTCATCACATCTCAGAAAAGAAAAAGAAAGAAAGAAACTTTCTTTTGTCATGATCATTATTGGACAGCAGAATCATCATAGTTTTACTATTGGTTTCTATTAATATATCTAAAACAAGTTCCCTACAAACCAATTATCCATTAATTTATTGAACTTCAATTATTTATATAAAAAATATTTAAGTTAAATTCTAGTCTTATGATCTTCTCCATTTTGAGGTTTGATGTTTCCATGCACAAATAATCTTTGCATTTGGGCCTTCACAATGCCCACCACTGTACTGTCACCATTATGAGTGCCAATGGGTAGCTCCAAAGTGTCATCAGGATGATGTGAAGTTGTCGAGACACGTCGACACCTCTCCTTTTCTACAGAAAGGAAGGCATTGGGGGGTCCACAGCTGTCATGTTCTATCAGTCTTACTAACCAAATAAGAAACTGTAAGAGGCACCAAATTAAGCGGAACCAAACAAGAGTTGGCTGGTGGAAGAATCGCGAAGAGGTTTTGCCCACCCAAAGCATTTACGGTGGCCTGAATGCGCACATTTTGTAGGTACTGCTGGGCATGGACGAACAACACCGATGGACTGATGCGTCGACGACAGCAGCGCATTCATTGAACGGGGAGAAGAGTAGGACCGAGAGAAAGAAACGTGCAACCGATGCCTCGCGGTGAGTGGTGCTGAAGAATGGAGACTTGTAGGTAAAGGCCAATAGATGGTTTGGTATCTTGGAAGAGTCCACCCAAAGAGATAAAAAGCCTCTCCAGCTGTTGTCACCTATTCAAGAAGAAGGCGATGGGTTCTTCTGCCACAAAGCTGTTCGATCGTTGTCGCGTTGGGGCCACAGCTCTCCCTGGCATCTCTGCAACTTATGCTTCCAAAGAACAGTGGAGCTGTCGATGGCGCACTCTGAGAAAGCGAAAGAGGAAGCTACACCAGCGTCGAAAAGTATTCATCTAATTAATACGGCGCATGTTTGATGAGAAGGCTGCAGATGAAGCGATCATGGCAGCAGCTATGGAGTCGAGAGCACACCTCCATACGGCGCATGTTTGATGGCACCGTTCCCTCACGTCTCTGGTGTTGTCCCTGTCGCCCATCACAGCTTATCTTAAAGTGGCCTGCCCTGTTAGATTCCCACTTCTGTCGTCCACCCTTTTCCTTCATGAGCTCACGACCTTTGTCTTCTCCCTTTTTATGTTTTCCTCCACTCATGACCACCTTTGTCCTCTTCCTTTTTGATCGCCAACCCAACAAGCCATGGGCAACTGCAACAAAGCTAAAACCAGCAACCAAGACAATCATGAAAGCGGTTGTTGGTTCCCAGTGAACGCACTGTTCTTACCATTTGGGTGCTGCTTTACCCACCCATCCATGGAGGGGAAGCACGTGAAGCCACTGGCCTCACACGACCATATTGGAGGAAGAATCTGAATCTTTTGGACGAATTGGAGGACAGGATGTGCCTGCTTTTTGTCCATCTTCTGCTTTCTAGCGTTGCACATCTGTTGGCTTGGAGCTTTCCACAGTCACTCTTTTGTAGCTGCATGTCCCCTGGCCATTTCTTGCCTCAGCCGTCGATTCCATGGCCCTACTCTTCTCGTTAGCATTAAGCCTACTTTATTCCTTCCACAGTAGTTTAGCACCGAATTGGACTCGATTAGGAATTAGGATCCTACAAACATCTCATTGTCGGCCATATTTAAGTACTAATATGATCTTAGCTAAGATAATAACCTGGATTATGTCAGGAGATGGTGCTCTGTCAGCTATCTTTTGCGGTTCTCATTTCAAACTAAATAAATCTGCATGTCAAGCCAAGTAAACAGACGATGTGTACATCTGGGATGATAAGGTGGATCAGATCGATCACAAGTTTGGAGCATCTGATTCGAGACACTAGTCAATTCTCTCTTCAGATGTTGCTGAGGTGATGATGTTAGATGACCAAATGCATGATACTGACAGCACAGGTAGCAATTTATCTTCCCCAAATGAAGCTTGGAGGGTCAATTGTAAGGACATAAGTGGAAGAACAAAACCTCAAACGCATCACTGTTTCTGGTCTCCGTCCTTACTGTATGATTGAACTCTGCAACCACCATCGATGAGGCAGCCTTGTGGTGGTAAAACTATTCTAGCAGGCAGTGCTTCCAACAGCTACTCGTATCGAATTCAGTGATCTCTCAATGATGGATTAAACTAAGCTAGTGGATTCTTTTCTGTATTCCTTCCATTGCCATTGTGCTCAGCTCCATTATTGAGTAGACTAATCTTGTGGGCACTTTTTGGTTCTTTAGCTCTTCTGGGACGGAACGGCGCGTGATGATGATTGCATGGGCAATGCTGTCCGGCGGTCCCGCGTGGACATCTGATGCTACTCCGCCACCCAATGTGTTGTAAGCGACAGCATAAAGATACTGACAAAGCATCACCAAGTGGGACGGCCCAAACACCATACTCCGTCCGCTCTATAAATTGACCCTCTTCCCCTGCCTTCGATTTTTGGTATTCCTCTCTGTGGTCTCTCTTCGGTTTCACGGGAGTAGTCACGAAGAGCTGCTGCTCCGATAGAGATGTACGCCGAGGCAGAGCTTGAGCTGCCATCCTTCTCGCACGGATTCTTGCAGGAAGTGGCGGTCGGCAGCTATCATGGCCACTACTCCCACCTCCCGCTCCCCGACGACGGCTTCATCTCCGGCTTCCACGTCGGGGCAGCGGGCGGCGGGCTCAGCATGGTAATTTTGCCCCGCTCCCTGGTTTAATCGCCGTAGCCAGTTGGGTTGGAAGGAATTGTTGAGGTCTGGAGCGATTGGGATCGATCGATCAATCGGATTAGGAGGATAGGGAAAGGTGGAGGAAAGCGGCCAAATCGTTGGTTGTTTAGATCATACGAGCGAACTTTGTAGTTAATTTTCACTTTGAAGCTAAACAAAATTGTTTTTTTTTCTTTATTTCGGAGGTGAGGTTTCTTGTTAAGCAAAATGAAAGAGAAAAGAGGAGAACAGAAGAAGGATATGTCGTTGTGGCTGCCATGGTAAAGTGACAATTACAGATTTAGTGACTCCAATCTGGATTATGTGGTTGGAATGGCCAGAATACTTCTTAGGATCGTTTTGTATTAATACATACACTTCAGGCTTTTTGGAAAAAAAAAAACAATTTTTAGGGTTTCTTTTTCCTGATCGAGAGGCCTGAGTTGATTTTTGTTTTGCCAATTCCCAGGTGAGACACTCTAGCTAGTAAATTTCACCTAGAAGCAAAACCTATAAATTTAGTCTAGCATCCAAGTCCATAAATTGTCAACTAGAAACAAAAACCTCTTAAGAATTCTTCTAGTGATTTAATATCCAAGACTGTCACTGCCAATAGTAAGCACTTGTAATCAGTTTCTCTATCTGACACCTTCGAGAGTTTAGCCAATTTTAATCTGAACACTCTCGAGAAGTATTCGTTGTATAGTGGTAAATGCATTTATTCTGGATGAAATAGTGCACTTGAGAGTTAAAAAAGTCTGAGCAGCAAGAAGACCAGGTCTTCATCTCTGTATGTTAATATCTATTCAAAAGCTGATTAATTCAGTGTCTTGTTTAATTTATCATTGAAAAATACCTGTCACAAAAATCAGCAGAAAGGTACCTGGGATTGAAGAACAAGCATGTTTTTAATTGTGATCAGAAATTTTTTTTCTTCTAACTTGTGAACTTTCTTTTTTTTCATAGGGAAACATGGTACAAACTTGTGCTGTATCAGAATATGATATGGGAGGAGAAGGAGATCTTTTCAAAGCTCCAGAACCAATTCTGGAAGTGCCATCTCTTGAACTTGATCCTGTGACAGCTGCCATTATATCTGTTGGAGGTGATGTCATGACAGAAACAATAAAGGTTGCAGATATAGAGTCAATCCAAACTGATCATCTCAATGACATATTTTATGAGTGCAAGAAAGACCTTCTAGAGGAGTCAGAGATTGAAGATTCAATTTCTGAACTCTTAGATGTCAAGATTCCTGCAGTGCAAATGGACGAAGTTCCACTTTCTGAGAAACTTAGCTATGCAGAAGGATCAATGCAGAAAAGTGTTAGCTCTGGGTGTTTAAGTTCAGTGGAATGGATCCCTGGGGGTACTAGGAGACCAGACTTCCTTGATTTCCAAGGATTGGATTTTGAAGCTGCAATTTTAGGTTTGAGGAGAGCGTATAGCGAGGGAGATATTCAGGTAGAGTAAACTTCTTTCTTGTTGCTTTTCTTTTGTGTTACTTCTAGTTTGCAAATTCTTTCTACAGTTTGGGTAAAATTACAACTGAGACAGTATATAAACTGTTTTTTTTTTTAACTTTGAGCAGTTTCTTGATCTTTTCTCTTATATTAGAAACTCATTTATTGTACATTTTCCAAAATATTCTCGGCTTGCCTCATGAAGGCAAGTCATACAGAAGCATTGAGTTCTCAAGAATACCATTAAGAAGATTGGTAGGCTTCAGCTTGAATGTTGCTTCAACACCCATGTTAATAATACTATCTACAAAGTCAGATCTGATAAGAAAATGAAGGTGCAAAGATTATACATGGTGGTTACTGTTTGATACATTTCCCTCAAGTAAAAGTTTACTTAAGCATGTTTTTGGTCTATAAGTTATGGACCATGCTGAAATAGTTACATCATGATTAACTGCATGATAGGTGCTGAATAAATCACTGAGCATAATGAACTGCATAGATGTGATAAATACAAACAGTGCAGAAATTCAAATACTGTCCTATCTAACATGTTGTAAGTCTGTGGTATCAAGGAAAAATTAACATGAATGTGACTTTTTAACCTAGAGAACTTTTCTGATGATAATGTGGGTTCACCAAGATATATTACTTATATGCAAACCTCTGATGCACCTGTCCGCATCCTACTATATGGCTGGTAGTTCACAGCTAGATTTCCTTTTGTCTTGATGCAAGATATACTGGTATGTTTTGAAATGCCTGGTATTTTCTACAGAAGATCATTGATTCTTAATTTTTTATGGCAGAATCTTGGCAAGAATAACACAAGCATTGGGAATACAACCGCTGTTTGCTCTTCCTTTGAACAGCTCCTAACCATCAGTGATGTTAAGACTGAACGACAGCAAAAACTTTCCAGGTACAGAGAGAAGAAGAGCAAGAGAAACTTTGGCAGAAAAATCAAAGTAAGTACTCGGTTGAGTTTTATTTCCATATTGTTCCTTTCTTTGAAGTAAAATCTCAAGCACAATGGGTGATCGTGGTCCATACTGATGAGTAGCAAGTAATAACATGTTCCCTTTCAGTCAGTCAACCTGGATTACACTTCAGAGGTGACGAGAAACTGGAACTCTAATATATAGAGAAAAAGAATCTGAACCTTGTTAAAGGCCTGAAGGAGACATAACCCTAGCTAATCTCTACTGCAAAAGATATGTGTGTTCTCCAGCATAGTCTCCAGTAGGCAAAGATTCCAGTCCATCTGCAACTTACACAAAATAAGTTGCCCTTGCCTAAATTGCAAAAGAACCTCGTGATCTGAGAAAGAAACTTTTCTTTAAAATTCATGAAAATCTTAATATTTACTGACAACTCCTGAAACTCATGTAATGTTCACTTTTTAAGTGTCCGTGGAGCCATTAGTTGCTTAAACTTACTTCAAATAAGCTCATGTTCAATTTATGTCTGAAACCAATTACGTTCGTCATCTTTGTTATTTAGTTATAGCATGCTGGTTTTTCATCAAGAAGTTTCTCATGATGGACTGCATTGTCATTTTTGTGTGAGAAAGAACTACAATCAAGTTTGTCATCTTCGCAAAAAGATAGTTGCCCATGATCTTGACTCAAAGGCTTCTATTATTCCTTTTCCCTCTCCCTTTTGAAGTCCCATAACCTTCTTTTCTAGAGATCTGATCCAATGGCTATCAGCTGTCATGTTTTTTAAAGCATATTTTGTTCTTTGAAGAAAACATAACATGCTAATAAACCAAGAATATGAAGTTTCCCTTTTAGGCATGATTTTATGTTCTGATATCACTAGGCGAAAAAAGAGAATTTGTGCTAGTTCTGCCAGTACCTGAATTATTTCTGGAATTGAACTATGCTTAGATATCCAAAGTATATACTTATTCCTCAAAAACTACTGATGATTTATGTGTTAATTGATATCTCCAAATGTCATAACCTTTGAGTTTTTTGGCTGATTCCAGTACCCCAACATGGTCAACTTTTCTTTCATTGAACCGTAGAGCTCCTGGAGAAAATCATGCTCCTCTTCCTGTAATTTGCCACAATAAGCATCACTTCTACTATTTAATTTGCACATAAATGAATAGAGTTCACCCTGAGACATGGGACATAATTTGAAAGCTGCAGAAAGCTTTAAGTGCCATAATTCCATATCTCATGAAGATGGATAAATGGTGATCAGAATTTTACTTTGATGTTTTTGGAATTGTCTTAGATTCTTTGACCCAGATATGTAGATTATACCTATTAATATGTTGCCAGAGACCACATTCTCATAAAGATGATAATGAACTCATGAAATGTGAATCGTCATCTTTTGTGTTGTTTTGCTCGTGCGTCAAGTCAACTGTTCAAATTGATTCTTTTGACTCCTCAAATTCCAAAAATTTTCCTGATTCTGAAGACTTAGGTTCTTCACTGATGATGTAATTTTCTATCATGATGAATGAATTCATAATCATGGAGAAGCAAGCTGCAGATAACGGTAGCTGAATGAACGAGTCTGCTAAGATGTTAAAATAAATGCATGAGATAAATTCATACTAGTTTTCATTTGCATCTTTTGACTAAATCGCAGGTTCTAGAGATTGATAAACTCTTTGGTGTTTTGCAGTATGCTTGCAGGAAGGCTCTTGCAGACAGTCAACCCAGAGTTCGTGGAAGGTTTGCGAAGACCGAATAGTGTGAGGCTTCAAAACCAAACATATCAATGCAAACGTCGAACTAGGCAAGATGTTGAAGTCGTTAGCAGCTCACACTTTCTCCATCGTCTTGAAGGATGCTTTTGGAAGTGATAAGAACAAATGGGCCACGAGAGACAAGGTCAATAGCAATATGGATGACAGATATCTCTGCTTTACACAAGGAAATTATTGATCACCATCCACTGGGTTATCTTCTGTGATGCAATGCAATAACAGCCTATATAGGTAAAATTGAAGTTGTAGCTCAGTTCTGTACAGTAGTTTGAATAAAAGGAATTTTGTATTCTACTTGCTGTATTATCACATTATCAAATATTTATTCATGCATTCGATCCCGCACCAAATTCTGTGATGAAGATGACTAACCTCTAGCGATGTTGCTTCTTGCATCTCCTTTCTAGACTTGAAACATCCGATGCCTGGAACAGAGTTGAAATCAAAATCTGGAACTTCATTGAGACTATCTCAGAACCTCACGGAAATCTTTATCTATAGAGAATTATGTAAGCTGGTCAACTGACACATGTTTCATCTAATTCGCAACCCTGCTTGGCAAATGATAAGTGACGATGGAATTTAATTCGGAACCTCGAGAAAGTCTTAATCTGACCTCGTTCAACATCAGCTTAACCTACTGCCTGCTTCTTGCTCTAAAGCATTTAGGTTTTGACATGAAGCATCCATGTTCCAGAATCAGACACAAGCAACACCATCCCACACTAGCAATCCAAAACAAGCTTTCCATTGCAATAAAGATATCGAAGATTCATAACATAGCATCTTTAAATCTTGAACCTTTACTGCCTTTGTCATAAACAAGGAAGGAGCAATCGACAGGACTGCTGCTTGCCATCTTTTTTTTCCCTCCCTGCTTAGGCAACTCTAGGCAAGGAACTCGATACATCATAACACCGAGCTGATACAACCACAAGGCTTTCACCATCCAACTGCGAATTTTATCCGTAGCCAAGAAAGATTGACACCAGAGTTGTTTAAAGAGAAATGGAACTGTCTACACTGTAGTGAGTTCAATCACATAATAATCACTCCAAGAACGAGGGAAAAAGGTTGGATATGTGGAAACTGATATGCGCTGATCTATATCTCACTTGCGAAAGTTGCCACTCCATTGAGAGGAGCCCCTCCGTGCTCCACCTCTACCACGATGATGGTGTGAGATACTGTGCCTTTGGGCGGTCCGATCACCATTAGACTGCTTTGCCTGCTGGGTGATCATCATCATCCTCTGCTTCTTCATATTTGCAAAAAGTGCATCCATGGTCTCTGGCTTCTGCTCGGTTACCACCTTATCCTGCATGTAATAATACATCAGGAAGCAGAAAATGAAATGAATTCAAGCAGCAAATGACCAGGACAATTGGATTATAGACATATCTCAAGTTGTTTATGAGGAATAATTCAACCTAAACCAAAACACTCAGAACGATGCATGCTCTGAAATCTTAAGATTAATTTCTACACTATCAATAATCAATTGCATATTGGGAACATATATGATGAAGGAGAGGGTATGTTGGCATATGCTATGCTAAACGTCAATATGGCAATAAAAGATTTTAGCTAAATGTCAGCTTGCTTAGCTACCAAATAAAATTCAGACGCCAAAAGATAGACATATTCTCCAGTAGTTTGCATAGCTAGCCATAGATGAAGAAATTTCATATTAACCTTCTTTCCTGCGAAGCTACCATCAGCAGCCTGCCTTTGCGCTGAAGTAACAGCCCTGCAACAATCACGAATCATCAGTGCAAGGCAATACACGATGAAATTAAGCCTACAGCAAAAGAATGAACTGAATAACTCTGAGAAGAACTTACCATCAAATAATAAAAGTATGTAGCTTTTAATACTAAGTATGACTGTAAACAATGTAACAAATGCTAGATGGGTGGAAACCATAGTTATCCAGAACATGGTCACTACTGTAGATCCAATATTTATTATCACAAAATGGCAGCTGTAAAGAGGTTTGCAAATGGAACTGTGACCTTTTTCATTGCAGCTGTCTGCAAACTATAAAATTCCTGCTATTGTTCTCAAGTTGCTCAATTCCACAAACCAAAAAAGGTCCAATAATACCAATTGATTTAAGTGACCTACAACAGTTATAAACTACTTTCCACGCATATCAGGCTCTTCCTTGGATCTGCCAGCACTTCCACCACAACTTACTGAACAGCTAATATTTTTGGCAATCCGAAGAACACATCAACTACCAATAACCTCCTCCAGATATTACTCGTCTGTATGGAACTACCAAGCCCTATAGAAAGCTTGAACATGGGACAAGAATGACAGCTATACTTCAAAAAACAATATACACATGGTGTTCTCCTGGTACAAGTTATGTATTCAATTGCATATCAATTCAACTGGCTCTAGAAAGAAATCCAAGGAATCTTCTAAGGTGCAAAGCAAGCATTCTCTTTCTTGACATCACATGAAACTTATTAGTTGAAATGCACCATGGATAGCAACAAAAGTCAGGATCAAACTCTCAATAGGATTCATTGTTGCACTACTTGTGGTTTCTTGTTCATAGACAACTGTGAGACCTTCATTCTTCCTAAAGGCAATACCAATGCATCAGAATGCTCAGATTAGTGCCACGCCACAGGCCAGAATATAAAATAGGGCAATGACAGCAAATCTCATCTTCCGTAGTAAGCAAAAGTCGAATGTCCAAAGTATATGATGGCTGTACTCATGTCTATGTTAACTGCTTATATCACCCATCTAACAGTTAAGTTGTCCACTAAAATCGCAGTGACAGAATTAAGTGCTTATATCACCCATCTAACAGCTCAGTTGTCCACAAAAATCCCAGTGATAGAATAGCGTGCATGCAAAAAAAATTTATCTTTCATGCAAAAGAACCATAGTTTACCTGTGAAGATACAGTTTTGAAAATTCTTAAGAAAATACTATTCAGTAAAGCCATGCCTTTATAAGAAGGATATAGAAATGAATAGAAATAAAATACCTTGGCTGGCTCTGATTCACTAGCCTGTTGCGAATAGGCATTGCAGAAACCTTCCTTGCAATCTCTGTTGTCATCTGAAACTGATTCCCATGAAAATTTGATCTTCTCTGTGCAAGAAAACCCTGTACATTGAGCAGGTAAAGGAGATTGAAGACATGAAATAGAAGTAGGTATGCTGCACGTTAAAAGATGAGGGGAAATTAAATTACCTGCCTAATTGATGACCTAGATTCCATGAACTGCTGAACTTTGGCATTATTCTGGGAACGGTTGCCATTTTGAAAGCCTTGGCTCTTAATCTAAAAAAGCAAACAAGCTTAGCTGCAATATTTAAATAATTTGATATGCAACACTGTATTAACTTAATATATTGTCAAATAACAACAAATCAAAAGTAACTCATCATACTCTATTAACTTCCTTACCGGCATCCTCATAGGTCTTCTCCCCTTCGACGTATTTTTCTTGGACATTTTAATGATATCATCTATAAGCAGAAAAGTTATTCAATTACAATGGAAACAATGAACATATTTTTTCATGTCAGCTAGAAATACTGATGTAAATGATGGAAGTACAAATATACCTAAGGTCATATCCATCTTTTTCTCAGTCAGGGCAATTGCTTCAGCTGTTAGTGGTTTAGTTTCCATCTGAAAGTCTTAAATAAAATAAATCTTATCAGTAACACTAAATTAAAAAGAAAATCAAGAATACTATATCAAAAGCACTAATACATTTTCCTTCCTGACATGGGCACTCTCATAAGAAAGATTAGTATGGTATCCAATGTTTGCCCTCATTGCAAGTCTACGAAGTATCATCCCACTATAGATAAAAAGAAGAATAATACTATGCACCTAACTCTATACTGACTAAGATGTCAAGATGTTTCACCAGGAAGACATAAATTATGTGCTCAACATCACCAAACATGTGGCCTACTTAGTCATTAGTGAGAGCCATGAGAATGCAAGGACAAACTGATTGCATACTTAAATCCTTGCAGCCCCATCATCCAGATCACATGAGAACTACAGTTCTGGAAAAGCTTTATCAACACCAAGCTGGAGAGTCTTAATGTCACATCCTGATATTTCTTCTTTTGAATTTTGTTACAACACAACTCAGATTGTGACCATCATTCAAAAGACAACTGTCCAGAGTAATTATTAACTAATTCAATTTTTCAACAGTCAATTTCATGTCTTATTCGAGATATAAAAATTGTCTGAAAAGCAACTAACAAGTTCTATTAGCTTGAACTAGGTATCACAAAAGCTAGAAATTCCTGGTGGTGCTATCTAGCCAGATAGAAAGCCTTGTCCACCCGAGTCTCCAATGTCACCATCAAAATACTGCTTTAAAAATAAATGTTAACAAAAACATTTAAGCAATCATGCTGAGTAGAAATTTTCGATATTCTAATTGAAGCAACAAGTGATTTAAGACAATATAAACGAAGTCACGCAGCGAACAAATAAAATTATCTTGCACATAACAGATCCATTATCATATTGGCATGGTACACTCCCCAATAGTGGATGGAGAGGTTTTACTCCATGAACTAATTCTTTTAATTTTTCAACTATTGGAGAAAATCATATCGTATTCCCTAAAGTAAATGGAGTAGTGTCTCTCACCTATCATAGTATGAACAAATTTCTTATAACAATACATGGAAGAACTGTCCGACCATCACGTCTGATAATATGCGAACCCTCGAAAAAAAATCACTTTACTAATACTAGTCCGCCTACCCTCATATGACATATTTAACATTGTAATTTTATTTATCCATTAATGCATTCAAGAAGACATTTAGATATATGTCGAAAATGTAATGGCATATCATGTTTTCTATATGACATTAAAGACACGATCCCGTGGTGGCTACGAATTATGGTTGGCTTATAGCTCCCTTCATGGGTCGCGATAACTTGCCTACTTTGAATCGCTCACTATCACCACATATATGTCATACATATGGTAAAAATCATATTAAAACTATTCATTAAAATATCAAACTCAATCTTAATTAATGATTTAACTTAAAAATCCATTAATCACAAAATTTATCATACAACATCAAATAAAATCCCCTAAATTCACTAGACTAGGGGATAGAAGGGTATCGAGCTCACTAGCCCAAGATTGACCTGAACCTAAGCTGAACCAACTTGAACTGGCTTAAATTATCTGATCAACCAAAACCGATTTGAACTGGACTAAACCAGTCTAAAACATGATCCCATTGGAAGCACCCCAAACCGAATAAATTGATCGAGAGTTACACTAAACCGGCTTCAAATGGTCCAAAATCATCCTGAACCGGATTAAACTGACCTGAAATTACCTTGAACCGATTTAAACTGGCGCTCAGCTTAGATGCGATTACACAAGGTCATTCGCAGGCAAGCACCCAACCACTTTGGCCACACGATCTAGGTCACAGAGGTTTGCACGTGCTGAGGGTGTCGGGCCTCGCTGGGCCACTGTATTGGTGAAGGTCGAGTTGGACTCACCCTGTATATTCCCCAACCGATTGGTTCAACCCAAGTCAGATAAGGTCCAAGCTAAAACTCTAGTCCAATTTACCAATAGTCACACTCATAATTAAATTCGAACATATTTTTTCAAGTAATCTAATCTATTACATGAAGACAAACATTATTAATTATGTTTTGAACACATGCAAATTTTAAGATATGATTAACTATTTTTTGTCATGATACAAAATTTTAGAACAATTAAACTAACATTAATAAATAATCTAAATTAATACATAAGGACATGAAAATCATCAAATATGGTTTACTAATTTTATGTCATGATTCAAAATAATTAAATTAACATTAACAACTAATCTATGTTAATACATGAAGACATGAATATCATGACAATCATTAACAAAACAATTAGTTAAGCATTAATAATCGTGAAATCTAAAGCATGCATCATTTTTCTTTTACATTGAAAATATAAAATTAATTAATATCAGATTTTTCTAAAAATATTAAATATTTAAAACATCGAACAAATATTTTAAAATTTAAATTTAAAGAAAAAGGTGAACTAACCTAGAATTTTCTTAAGGGTGACAATCTCCTCTAATCCTTTTCGCAGTTCGAACCCCTCCTTGGCTAAGATTAAGATTTAAGATGAAAAATTGAGGAGTCCACCTGGTTTATAAAGGGGATAAGGTGAATCTCTAATAAGGTATGAAGGTTTATTTCCATTTCAAAATTTATTTTTAATTAAAAGTAAATATGCTATTTCTTGTTACGCGTACAAAAGTAGGAAATATATATTAATTGCTGAGATATATTCCTTATAACGGCATGCAAGATTAGAGCAGATAATGATAATTAATCAAGGAACGGATTTTGGTATTTGAATTATGAAACAAATATTTAAGAGGATTAAATTTCAAGGATCATCGTATATCTATTACAAAACAAGTTAGTATAAGCATAGCCATCTTGAAACTTTTTATAATTAAATCCCCCCAATTTAAGCATAATTATTTGATTTCCTTTCTTGTTAATAAAATTTAGGAAATAAATATTCAACATTCCAAGTTGAGTGATATTTTTTTTGTCAATAAATTAAATAAAAATTAAGACTAAATAAATACAAAAATAAAATAAAAAATTATTACCTTGGATGGAGGGCTCACTTTCTCCTATTTAAGGGAATGGATTCCTCTTTTTCATTTCTTACTAAACTAAGCCTAGCAACGAGAGGAATGTGGAGTTGCATCCTACTTAGAAGAGGCAGATTCTCTAACCTTTCTTGAAAGATAAATATTTTCTTATATTCCTTCAAATGTTTAAAATTTTATTTTTGGACTAAAACATGTTGTAATTATTCATGCTATATGCAGTTTTAAATTTTTTTTATTCCTTTACATGTTTAAAATTTTATTTTTGGATTAAAACATGTTATAATTATTCATACTATATGCAGCTTCTAAAATTTTCTTTTATTCCTTCATATGTTTAAAATTTTATTTTTGGATTAAAACATGTAATTATTCATTATATATGTAGTTTCTAAAATTTTTATCTTGCATGCACAATGTTAGTTGTAATACTTGATTTCTATATACTTATACACTAGTTGATTAAAAATGTTATTTCCTCCCTTATGCATTTTCATCTTATTAATATACTATTGTTTATTATATTTTAATGACTCGATGTTTTGATTATAATTCCATGATACTATAATTCAAAATTGAAAGAATTTGTTGGGATTTAGGCTGAAATCAACTAGTAGGCCAGGCCCAATTCACAAACTAGGCCCAACCAACAAACTAAGCCCAACCAATAGGTCAGGCCCTAGCCCGTAGGTTAGCTCGGCCCACCCAACACTGGCAGTCATGTGCAGTGCGTATAACCTATCCATGGGCTATAGGTTGCCCAGCCTAGTACAATGCAATGCACAATCATATGTAGTGCACATGACTAATACATGGGTTGGCTCAACCTAGCCTAGTGCTATGCAATCTAGCTCATTGCCCTTACTTTGTTAAATCTGGGCCCAAACATTGATTAAACCAAATCAGATTTGATCAATTTAGGATGATTCCAAACCGATTTGATTTATTTAAGTCTGTTTAACCTAAATTAAACTCAATCTAATCCAAATTATGCTAATCTAAAGTAGTTTCAGACCGATTAAATGAGGATTAAAGACCAGATCAGTTAGGTTCTAGTTAAATCGAGTTCATTTAGACCAATTGAACTAAGATTCAAGTCAATTGCAGGCTAATTGATATTATTTGACATTAGTGATATTTGAAAGATAAATTAAGATATTTCAATAAATTATTTCATCCCAATATGGACATGACTAGTATGAGATAATTTTGTTTCCTTGCCAAGGGCAGGTAAGACGATTCCCTTCGGGGATTAGCGAGCTATTAGACGTGACAGCTGGATGATTCCTCCATCTGCTATTGAGAGGAACATATCCCCACTTTGATAGGTTAGGGACACAACTCTATCTGTTGTTCGAAGTGCGATATGAGTTTGTCTCCATCCGTTATCGGGAGAACATAAACTTATCATGTAGGATACAATCCCTTCATCCCAAGGTATGCAGTTTCGAATAATACCACTCGTACCGGGCGGTACATACCGGTCCGTCAGTTGACCGGTACACGAACCGCTTGTTATCGGACAGTACATATATATATATATATATATATATATATATATATATATAACGATATACCGCTCGGTATACTGTATCGTACCGTACCTAGCGAATGTCGAAACGTCGGTACGGTACGATATTTCAAACATTGCTTCATCCGCTATTAGGGGAGTACTCATTCGGACATTTAATATACGCCAATGGGATGATTGACTTTAGATATGTATTTATTTTACAGACGATTTAAGGGGTTCCCACTCAACATTGCTCAATTTTTTTTTTTTTTTCAAAGCATATTCCCAATAGCATTAGATCGGATTCCAGTTGAGAGCAAACCTTCCTCTACCATTAAGTAGAGTCAATTGAGTTTTATTTTTAGGTTGATATCATTATGTTTCTTAATAAAACCTATGGCTACTTTTGACTTATATTTTGATAAACAAATGAATTGTAATAGACATTTACAATTTATACATATCAATAAAGTGATATTTATTTATTTGGTTCTTTGTAATAGACATTTACAATTTATACATATCAATAAAGTGATATTTATTTATTTGGTTCTTGATGTACCTATGGAAAAATGTTATGATCCTATGAAGAAAAAAAAATCTAAGATGTGACATCTTTTTATGGTATCAGAGCATGGTTTAGGACTTGTAGGTCTCTGGGTCCTAGAATTGATTTTAACCAATAATTAAATCATCTTTTGACATATTATTAGAGTAATGAAACCAATTCAAGAGAATAATGGTCCTACTGCTCGGGATGCTCATGGTCGCAATGCTACTAGCCTACGCACTCGAAGAGGTGGTCGAGCAAACCCTAGCATCTAATTCTTGATGGAAGTAAATATAATCAATCTTAAAAGTGAGCCTTGAATAAAAAATCCATCTAAGAACAACAAATTCAAGTCGTTTTCTCGTGCTGAAACAATGAAGCAACGAGGGAATGTCACACTACCAATTAGTTAGAGCATTAGATATTTTCTAGTGTCAAAACCCGAGAGAAATTTTGAGTTATCTGGATTAGATTGAACTGGATGGTCGAACCGAAAAAATTAAGAATCGAATCATTGGTCAGTCTGATTCATTTATTGGATTAGTTACGTTAAAAAACCTGAATGAACCAGTTGACTAGATTGATTTTTGGATAACCCACATGATCTGACCGAGTTCAACAAAATCACTCTGATTTTATAATATTGCTAAGCTTACTTAAATACTCTTAACTTAAATCTTCTTTATTATTTATTTAAAAGAACATTTTTTTGTCAAGTTTGAGATTAAGCTTAGAGTAGAAAAGTAAGTGGCATTTCTCATGCAATCGCTTCTCTCATTTTGATCATCCTCTCTTCCTCTGACCATCTCTCCTTTGCCTTCTCATCTCCCTCCGACCATTGTTCTCTCTCCACCCCTTGTCTCACATATCTTCTCTTCACATCTTCCCTTTCTGATCATCAAAATGTGCAACAAATGAAAAATAAGTTTAAAAATTCAGAATATGATACAAAATGGACTCTTTGGGGTAGAACTACTGAATGATATTTTAATGACTAGAAAATTATCCATTTCTATCTCTGAGAAGTTTACATGTGACTGCCATTTCGGTCGACAACAATATTGGATAAACAATTTCTTTTGTATTGTTGAACAATTTATTCCGGGTTGAATTAAATTAATTACATTAACATACTTTATGTTTATAATATTGGTTCATATTATCATTTTTATCATATTTTATATGACTGAAATTTTGTTTTCATTTGTCTAAGATTTTTTTTCATTATTTTTAATATTTAAAATTTTTACTATAAATTATTTTAAATTAATTTATATCTTTAAAATATTTTTAATTAGATATGTTATCCGACTAATTGACCCACCGACCAGTGAGCAGAAGCTTAGATGGCCGCTTTCTGGTCCGATTGTGATAACCATGGCCATATGTCCCAACAAAGGCACAACAGCATCTTGTCTTATACAATAAAAGGCGAAAAAAAGAGAGAGCAATGACCATCATGCATGAAAAAGAGGGGAAAAGAACAAAAAAAGAAGGAACAGGAAGGACAGGAGCCTAGAAACATCAAAGCATTCGACCAAATCAACCCTAAATGGAACCTGTTCTAGGACCAAAAATCTGATCTTGGAGCACGAAAGGGTCTCCCGAACTGACACGTGATCTCTGCCCTTCTACAATCACCGTGAAATCCCAGGGTTTCTACTTTCCAACTTGGTGCCAAGAAATAGAAGACAGAAGTCAAGACACCAACGAGATACGCTACCATAGGAAATTGGACGAAAATAGATAAAGCAGAGGCGAAGAGAACTCGCCTTATCCCACGGCAGTATGGGATGCCCCGGCGTCGAGGTCACCCACAAACGTCCAGAAGAATTAGGGCTCAGTGGGGAACAAGAGACGGGGAGAATAAACCTCAGGAGCTCTCGAGCAGGGAACCTTAGGATCGCCCGCTCTCCTTGGCGACTCAGCGGAAGCAGGGAAGCCCTCCGTCGACCATCTCCGAATTAGGCAAGTAGTGTCCGAAGTCGATGGACGCGTATTCGTCGACATTTCATCGTTGAGTGTGAGCCCACTCCGCTTCGGATTGGTCAAAACTACGTAGATTGACCGAATCACCCACCTAGGAGTCAACGGGCGGATTCGGTCACTCTTGTCAGTAGAATGTCCCTTTGAATTTGGCTGCCATATTGCAGGATTGATCATCACCTTATGCCACTAATTTCACTTGATTAAGCATGCAAACATAAACTTCAATTATATTTTGAAATATTATTGTTATCATTTTCAATGTCTTTAAATTTGAGTAAAATTATATTAACAACAAAATATTGTGTGTAAAGAAAAGGTGATAATGATCGCTAATGTGTCTGGACCGCTAATGATTATGTAAGTCATATGAGTTCGATCGAATACGAGGCTCATCGATACTATAGTCAATACCAAAAATGATTAAGTAATGTTCATCTATTTTACTCACTCAAGCTATATAATTTGAAAGAATAGAACATGTTTACTTGAAATAGTATAACGCATGAGAGTATAGAAGTATGTCAATTTAAATAGCCCATATAAGGTGAAATACCAACATAGGGATGTTAAATATGGGAGACATGGAAAGGTGTAAAGGCATATCGACTTATGAGGGTTCGAACCCAAGGGATGCATTGGACATTAAGGTATGCTAGCTTGAATTATTATCATATGGTGATATTAAATATAGAAAATATGGATGGGTGTCAAAGCATGCCAACATAAATTCCCTACATAAGAAGCATAAAACATATTAGATAAGTGAAGGGTGTTAGGATTTGCTAACTTAAACTACTCACTTACGAAGTATCAAACACAAGAAATATGTAAAAGCATCAGCGCATACTAACTTGAACCTTCAATGCATGACGACATCGAGACATGCCGATTTGAATGACCCGACTAAGAGAAATCGAACACATGAGGGTAATGGGTCATGCCAATTTGAACCATCATATAAGGGGTGTGTTCAATGAGATGCATGTGAGCGTCATGATGTCTCAACTTAAATTGCCCGAAGCTAATATCAATTTGAATTACTTACATAAGATGTATTAGATACATGAGACATACAAAAGCTACGAGGACGTGCTAACCTCGAACCATCCATAAACGAGGTTGTCTATGCATGAGGGGACCGAGGTTGAACGTACGAGACATGCACGAGCACTAGTTAATATCAGTATGAATTGCTTGCGACTGTCATGAGATGGTTGCCGCGGAGATGCCATGGCGATCTTGAAGATGCAACGTACTTCTTGAAGGTGAATTGGACTTTGGATGTCATGCATGACTTTGACATGAGGAGGACTAATGGACGAGGTCATGGTTTTCTCGAAGACCAGCGGATGTAAAAAGTCATGGCCTTCTCAGAGATGAGCTTGTAACACCACGATGGTCCTGGAGACACGACGGACTAGGAATGTCGTAATTGTCTTCAGGGATGCGATGGGCCTTTAGATGAAGTTGCGGGCGACAACGGTGACTGTGGATGACGAAGGAAGCTGCGAGTGACGGACGAGGTTGTGGACGACAAAGGAAGTCGAGGATGAGCGAGGTTGTAGGCGACGACCGACGCCGTGGCCGATGAAGCCGTGGGTGATGGAAGAATCCACGGACGCCTGAGAAGACTGTGGCCACAAGGTTGGACAAAACCATGGCCGCATACACGATGTTGAGTGAAGCCACATGCGAAGCCGAGGAAGTGACATCGAGTGAGGCCACGGACAAAGCTGTGGAGAGAAGGCAGGCGCATTGATGGCTGACCTACGCAGATACGTTTGACGTATTGCTTGAGAGAGAGAGAGAGAGAGAGAGAGAGAGTGAGAGATAGCTATTGTGAAGAGAAGAAGATGTCGGATTGGCCTCCCCGGAAGCTTTCTACCTATTTGCTTGAGAGAAGATGCAACAACAAACGACGAGTAGATATGGTGATGAATGACGCCCATCAATAAAATTCGATCGAACTCCGACGACTAGACTCTTGGTCTCCTTGCAAGGGCAATTACATACCTTTGTAATTAGATCCTGTTAATACTTCTTGACTTCAAAAAATTTACAATGATATTCATGTAGTTATAAAAATGAGATATTTAACCTCATATATTTTAACGTTAATGATTTTATCAATGGAATGCCTTCGGCAATGTCGAACCCACGACACTCATCGTACTCCCATGCCATGTTGAGTATGTGGACCCATGTGTCGGTCGTTGCATCATGGGTTAGCATGGATCGCAGTGCATACTTTCTCTCATCATACTTGGCCAAAAACATCATCCAGTGCTCCTTCAACCCATTGTATGTGAAGGAATGCCTGGGCTAGGCATGGGGGGCCTATTATTACAGACAAAATAGTAAATAAGATATTCGATGTAATACTTATGTATGTCCATGTCTTTCGATTTTATTCATACTTTACATAACATGTAGAGGGCTTGTAGTAAACTTGACAATCCCTTTTTTGTTAGCTTTTATGGTTGTTCCATGCATATAAATTCAAATGAAATGATGTGAAAAAAAAGGGTTGCTTTAATGATATATATATATATATATATATATATATATATATATATATATATATATATATATATATATATATATATATAAAAGAGAGATAAGTCTATATATATAGAGAG